TTTTTTTAAAAAAAAAAAAAAAAAAAACGAACAACATGTTTGATGGTTCGATTAATAATAATGTAGTTCACCTTTCATTTTTTTTTTTTTTATAAATTGAATGATGGAACTGTAACGAACAGTGCCAATTGAAGTCCACAGAAGGCGCAATACACAATAAACAGTAATAAATTACACGAAAAAGACGACAATTTAGCGATAAGGGGTTCGCGAAGTATACACACGTACTTTGTACGTACGCGTACATGTTAGACCCATATTTAACCTATGAGGACACAACACGTATACACATACGACCATCGTATACAAAATATTGGAGAAAACGGGATACATTTAAACGACAAACGAATCAAAGTAAACACGGACAACTTTTACACGTTTTTTAAGTAGAATAAGTCACTTAAGAATTTATTATTCCACGCGTTTATCTATTTTCTACGTGAGACTTAAGAGGAGAAAATCGAAGTCGAATTGAACGGGATGAAAGAAAATCGAAAAAAAAAAAAGAATTCTTGACCATCCGTTTGGAACACACAACCGTTTTGTATTTTCAAAATTCTCGATCGATCCTTTCTGAACATGCGTTGCAAAGCGTTGGAACAAAAATTTTAGCATTTAATCAGTTTAAACGTACTTTTGCATGAGATGTCGACAACTTCTGAAAGAAACTTTTTATCAGAGAGCGTGTCACGAAAATTTCTATATATACAGAGAGTGGTTGTTACCGATTGCGAGTGGAGACTGATCGACCGAAAGTTTTTCTTTTCGATAATGTTCGTTTAAATCGATGTCACCTGCAAGAAAAGAAACGAGCCGAAAGAGGAACATAAAACAGAGAAACAGAGATTCCAATGATGGATTTTTCTACGAAATATTTAATCCGGGACTGATGTACATAATACGATCTACGTTACGTTTTCCTCATCCGCGGATGAAACTCATTTGTATAAGTATTTAAGCTTTGTTACGTGTTTTACAGAATTTCATCTACGTGTAGAAGAAGAATGATCGAAAGTTTTTCGCAGAGTTCGTATCAGAGTTCTGTTTCATTCGGAGGTGAAAAGGCTTTAGAAGATTCTAGACGAAGTTCTAAACTCCGGTGTCTTGACATGTTTACATTCATGTACCGCCATTTCCTTTGAAGTTCGTTGTTGAAACGATAAGTAGTCTTTGGTGGAAGAGGTATGGAAGATGTGAAAATCATCGTGCCTGAGAATATACGAGTTTCGAACGAGTTGAGAGAGGTGGAGCACAAATTGGAATTAGTTCTTCCTTTGTAAGTAGCCACAGATTTATCGCGTAAGATTAATGAACGGTTACAGGCGAAAGTTTTAAATACCAATATATAAATGATATTTGCTAATGATGTTTTTAAAATTTAAAGATGTTTCCATTTTAAAATGAAAGTGTCCAAAAAGCGTAGCTACGACTGGATCAATCGCTGCGTCCATGCTTTAATTCATAATTTCGCCGTGTCTCTTCCATCAGCGGTACTTAAATTTCACGTGTGTTCACGGTGAACTTCGCAAACATATTGTACGACATGTTTCCTCTATCGCATAAATTAAAAAAAAAAATATATATATACAGAAAACTGTATAAACGTACACGAAAATTCATTTAAAGGGACAAAAGGCAAAGTTATATGAAGCGAGAATTTATTACGCATATATGTGTATTTTTATATATAGATACCTGATGAAATTCGACGAAGGATATTACTGAGGAAGAGAAGAAATAGCTAGAGAAAAAATAAATAAAAATAAAAAGTATTGCAGAAAAAAACAAACACACAAGTGAAAGACTTTCCGACAAACTGAATAGCGAAGATACTACGGGAAAATGACTCTAATTACTTAACCTGTTTCTATTTTTCGACGTCTATCTCGACGAACTGTGCTTATGTCATATATAATTATGTCATACATACATATACGCGCGTGTAAAAAATCGTAACTTAATGTGAAGACAGGTCAAAGTGATTAGAGACATACGAGTCTCTTCGATGCCAAAAAAAAAAAAAGAAAAATAAAAAGAAGTACATATTATATCTTTATATATTTGTGGTTGCAGATTAAACTTTGATACTTATGTTAATTCACGGTACGAGCATGCTTCAATCTCCAACGATTACTTCGATTGTTCCTAATTCTGCGCTCTCCCTTCTCTTCTTTTTAATGTCATTTTTCCTCCATCGTGTTTTCTTCTTCTTCTTCTTCTTCTTTTTTTTTTACGATTTTTTCCTTACTCTCAACCAATCGTCGTCCCCTAGCGAGTAGCATTAAGATTGCAGAACAGAGATGAATTTGAGTTGCATAAAGTATAGTAATAAGCCGATGGCTTCGTTCGTGAACGTAAAAGAAGTTTAGCTACCTTTCGGAAAGTTGCGTGCAAATCTCGGCGACTTCGTCTCGGTATTTATTCAATAGTCAATTATTATTAGTCAATAAAGCGCGTGAAACGTTTCAGAGATGAGAGTCGGAAGGAAGTAAGAAGGGAAAAAATGGATGGTAAGAAGAAAGAATGGCGGGAAAAGGAGGATGGAGAGAAAGAATTTACGCAGGTACGTTGGAATTTGGTAGAATCAAATCGAAGAAATGAAACGATATCCGGACGTCATATCTCTTTGAAAGTATGTAAATCATATGTGTATATATAATATATGTATAGAAGAAGCTACGTGCATATGTATACGTATGTACACATAGAGAGTCCTATAATGTGCCCTTATAAAACGATATCCCACGAGAGGAGAGAAGAGAGGAAAAAGAAACCAAGAAAAAAAAAAAGAAGTTAATCTACGTTTTGTATGAGTACTTAGTTTTTACCTCGATTATACAATGCATTATTATTATTATTATATAGAGAGTTAGGTGGAAGAAAAGAGGAAGTAAAAAAAGAAACGCGCGTGTGTATATATGTATGTATATGTACCTACATGTGTATGTGCTGTATACACGTTCAACATTCGCGTTCAACATTCGCAGTGGCGCAAGATTTTCCAATCAAGTTAAATGTAGGCTGACTCCTATGATTGTGAAAGAGAATTAAAAAGGGGGAAAGGAAAAGAGAACAAAACGATATGGAACGGAAGTGAAAATTGCAGAAAATAAACATTGTTTATAAACTGTGCACAACTATATCCTTTTTTTCTTCCCCTTCTCTTTCTTCCTTCCATTTGATTTCCACACGCTTCCGTCTCTCCCCGTCCTTCCTTTCGCCGACGATTGAAATTGTAAAAAAATCGTAACGAGAAATTGGCCACGCGCTGTAATTTGTTTTTTAACGAACTCGCAAATATAATAATCGATATTACCGGTGTCGTTTAATGATAAATTTAACTGCGCCCGGTTCTTGATTTACTACCTCTATATTTCTTTTTTTTTTTCTCTCTCTTGTTTTCTTCATTTCGAAGTAAAATTGACGTGCACGCGGGAAATTCGTTGTGTCCGAGGCGTTCTCCACGAAATTGAAAAATTTTGTTTTGGAAAAAAGAAGGAGAAAATAAGGACACGACTGGGCACGGGGAAATTTTTCGAAGAACCATAAAAGAGTTGTTAAATGTATTTACGTAGGTATGTGTTTTGCACGCGACTGTGAATTCCGTTTCAATTCTACAAATTGCATCGCGCATTCCACGATATCTCGTGCTACTTTGCGCCGGTATTTTGCTGCGTATAACCTTTGATTTCCGGTCTTATCAAGTTGCAATTAAAGCTGTTTTGAAGGATATCGCCAATGCGAATAAATTATGGATAACGATAATTAAATCGGTTATTATTGCAGGCTAGATATAACAGTACATAAATATCCGCTGAAATTCGTGTAGTTGATAGCACGATAGAGAAAAGTATCATTTCAGCTCGATCAGGTTTGACAGATTATTGCAGTTTTAATAATTCTTTTGCAATTTTAAGTTATAAATTATTTTCCGCCGTCGACGACAGAAATATTTTTCCTGGAAGTTTTAATATTATCGCTGTGTTTACTTTCTGTTGCTGACGATTAAAATCTGAAATAATCTTGAATCAATTACTGCCGTGCCATATTTTCCGCGACCGACGATAGATACGTTTTCCTGGAAATTTTAATATTATCACTGTGTTTACTCTTTGTTGTTGACGATTAAAATCAAAAGTCATTCAATTATTGCCATACCACATTACGAGACAAGATATTAGATTGATTACAGTAATTACATGAAATGTAATTCAATGAATATTATTTATTTAAACGATTTCGAAGCGTGATGTCAAAATTAAAAAAAGTTATCAGAAAACTCATGCACGTTGGTGATCATCGTTCAACGTGAGAATATATATACAGTATAAAGCGCACTGCAAAAGTAGCATATATGCATGTACACTACCGTCCATAAGTCACTTGCTAAGATATACTTTTCTGGATTAATTTTATCGTACAATTTTGTTATGTACACTTATTTTATAATAATACTTGAAAACAAAACTGATATCCC